GATATGCCATATTCTCAATCTCCGTTCTTTTTTTCTTCCTCTTTACTTCCATGGGCTCTGGTTTGGGTTCCTCGGGTGTAATTATTTCTTGAGGTGTTAGTTTGGGTGCTATTTCTGCCTTCTCAAATTTACTATTATTGGTGTATCAGTCAGGTAAGTTCGCATTTTTGATTGAATTAGCATATGAGTATGGGTTCTCAGACTTCCATATTTTATTGCACTTTGGGCTACCGATTTTATACCACTCTGAAACTTTTTTAGATCCACCCTTTAACTGTTTGGCATACATGATACATTTGATATCTTGCTTAGCTAATTGTGCAAGAGGTGGTCTTGATTTGGTAAGCTTCTCCAGCTGTTACGAATCGGGATTTTTGTTAGATTTTTTGGATGCCATCTTAGAATGAAATTATTACTTCGCAGTTATAAAGTAATTATATTTTGTTTGAAAAATTTTTACTTATCATTGTTTAACCAAAAAATATATATATGGCTGGTGGGTAGGTTAACTCGCTTCCTCAATTTTGTTCTATCAATGCAGGTAAATCACCCCATTCATCTAATTCTGTTAAATTCCAATCTTCTATTGTATCCCAAGGGATTGCGTTATTTTTTATTTGGTATATATGGCAGACGGGTAGGCCGACTTGCTTTCCTACATTAGGTAAATATAATTTATTAAACGAAAAATTATCATGTGGTATCATTTTATATGTGTTAAACACTAGCTCCCCTATTATCTGATAAGTTTGATTAAGATAGAGTTCCGGAATTTTTAAAAAACTTTGTATTACTAGATTTAATCAAAGATAAGGTCTTTTTAATATCATCATCAGGAAATTTTTAAAGGCGAAATATTTCGAAAATTTTTGCCTCGTTAAATTTTCGGAGTTATACGACACCTTCGTAAATTTCCGGAATTTTTTGTTTCATTTATTTTCGAAAATTTTTACATATATTTTCATAAATCTCCGTTTATTTTCGAAAATTTTTGCATATATTTTCGTAAATCTCTGTTTATTTTCGTAGATATTCGCGAAA